GTCATCAGGTAGATCAGGACATAGCCACCGTGGTGTTCATGCTCACTCAGGCCATCCATCTTCCAGTACTGCCTCTGGCTCCCTTCCCTCCAATAGACCAAACCCTAGTCACCATCCAGGAGCCTGTTATTTTGAGAATTGTGGAAGAACTCCAGTGAGAAAACTGATAGATATGTCTTAAAAACTATAGGGTTTCTCCTTTCTTGCTTATTATTGTTTGTAGTTTGGCTATTTTATAAACATTTTAAAGCCTGCTGTAATATTAGTGACAAAAACACAAAAATAAATCTTTGATTAACACATTAGTGCCAATTTTTCATTTTAATACTGAAGGTAATATTCTATATCATCTTGTCACATTAAACATTCAAATGCTGCAAAACTTCCACAAATTTAATTCTACCCACTTCTCAGTTATTGTTATTACTTCATTCTGTATGAGGATAATTTATTTTTCTCCTGTGCATGTTTTATAATACACTGCAAAAATAAGACTTCAAAATACAAATTCATGTGCATTACCCTCAGAAAGCACCTTTATATTACAACTTCAGCAATTTTTGTTTCTAACTGCATTTTGAGGACCTATTATCATTGTTAATATTTTGGAATAGAGTTATTGCACTTTTCAAACAGCCATTATGTCATTTATAGATTAAAAAATTGTGATTCTCAACCAATAAAAAGAACACTTTAAACAACATTGTCATTTGTTTACTGTTACTAAAATTGAATCAATTAAAATATTTTCATAACATGACAAGTTTTGAATATTTTCATTTTTAAATGTTTCATGCTATTTTAAATAATTTGAACATTTAAACAAAGTGAGTCCTATGCATAAATAGAACTTCAGAAATTTTTGAGCAGGAATTTTTTTAGATCTTAAGAGATGATCTATTAAAATATAACAAACTCTTAATGAATAATTTGTTTTTACCCTAAGATATGGGGTTAATTACACTTTGCAGAAAGAATGTGTAATACTAATTTTATGAAAATGTAAAATGCCAAAAATGTATCTTCATGATCAAATGAGCTTTCTCTTTCCTGTACTGCTGTTAATGAGAAACTTTTTATATTGACTATATTGTAAATAATAATAACTTTCAATCAGAGTAAGTTATGTACTTAGAGTAAAACTAAAAAAACAGTCTGGCCATCAGTATAGCTAATTAAATGTACCTTTCTTATGTGTCTACTTATAAAGATTATAATGCATTTTTTTGGGTACCATCACTTTTAATGATATTTTTGGCCATAAACCCACGAGGTTTGATTAGCTTAAGAGATTTAGATTGGTCCCAATTACATGCCCCCCAGTGGCACAGTGGTATGTCTGCAGACTTATAATGCTAGAAACTGGGTATTTATACCTGTTGTGGGCAGAGCACAGATAGCCCATTGTGTAGCTTTGTGATTAATTTCAAACAAACAAACCTAAACACATATACTAAAATAACAAAGCAAAACAAGCTTTATAATGAAAGTACAGTACCAAAAAACAAAACTTAAAAAAGTAATGAAACATTACAATCAATACTTTTAATAAAAGTAACTACATGGACAGTTCTGTCCCTCAATTACAATCAAGAGCAAATATAATCAGCAGAAAATATTATTTTATTTGATGAACAAATTTGAAGAAATATATCCTCATATATGAATATATTAAATTTAAGTATGTACAGATCATGCTAATAATAAAAATTTGTTAGACAATAATATTCTTTGAAAATATGATATGCTTGTACTCAATCCATCTGTCTTAATATAATATCCATTCCTTTCCTCTGATCTTAATACATTGTATGCACTTTGTCATCAACATCAATGTGGTATGTATTCCTTACCAATTTTTCTCAATAACTTGTGTCTTCTGTCACTTAGAATGTGATTATTAGGGCATGAGTTTCAGTTATTCAGATGAATGGTTACAATTATTATTCAATGAAGCATACATTGTAGATTGAACCCTCTGGTAACATTAGGCTTACAAGTTATAAATTTATACTTAGAGCTGCAAAATAGTGTGATTTCTTCAAAATGTATTGTTTATGGTTAAGATACCTTAAATAAAAGATATTAAAGAAAATTTTATGGTATATTATGTGCACATATCTAACTATAAATGAGAGCTTTATTTCTGCTGTTTTGCCAAAGATCAATTTTACGCACTGGCCATAACTTTTGAATATGGCAGTATTGTTAGAATAAACTTTGATAAGAAAGTATTGTTTAAACTTGGAGAAAAGTATGTGTAGAAAAATGTTTGTAAAAGTTATATAACAACTGAAAACATAAATAGTGAGAAGTTGTGCATTCAGATACAGATTTTTAAGGAGATACTTGAAGTAGATGTTAACTGTTATTTTGGAATTTGGTAGACTGTTTGAGGTATCATACATTATACAGTATGCCACATGCTGAATGCAAAACAAATGTTTATAAAAAGGTTATTATAAATAATTATTGTGAATTGAAATGTAGCACTAATTTCTTTTCACAGGTCTCTATACTTTCAGCAGAAAGTTGTCGGGCACATGGAAATTGTTTTATGCCTGGTCAACGAGTACCCCCTCCACATTGTTCTCAAAGCCATATTTATCCTTGTAAGTTTTAATGTGTTGTTAAAAAGGTATTTAACAAGATAATAAGACTTAGTAGCAGACCATGCATAACTTAGTGGTTGACATATTGGAGTACTGATAAAAGGGTCTAAGTACTTGTGATATGGTTGTGGCAATTGAATATAAATTCTCATGATTAGCAGCCTCTAAATCTAATGATTAATTAGTTACTTTTTTATTTATCAATTATGAATTACTAACTAGTTTTAGTCCTACGTTGTGGCTGCTAATTTGCTGCTGTTTTCAGAAATGTCCTTAAAAGGACTATTTTTGTGGTGGTAGCAGACAGGATTCAAACCTGGGTCTTCTTGATAAGAAAAAAAAGCAAGTGTTCTATAACTTAAATCTATAAAACTTTAAGTGCATAGTATTGGTTTGTAGTTATAAAACAAATTTAGAATGTTTTGTTTTTTTGTATTGCTTAAAAACAAATAGGCACTTTTACATGTAAATTTTGTTTTGTGCTTTATAGTTTTATTGTTACAATCTATTTAAGTTATAAAATAATATTTTGATGAATGTCTTGCCCTTGTACTCTGCAAGTTTATTTATACATTATCTTTTTTTACATCTTGTGGTTTGGCAGATTGTTATTAACACCTAGATAATGTCACTGTGTTGTTGTGCATGAATTGATAAATGTACAGTAAGACCCTGCTTGGTGCCACACTGCTTTAAGCTGATTCATTATAGAGCCATTGAAAAAATTTTTTTTTCACGAAAGAGAAAAAAAAAATTATGAAAATCCACAACTCTCTGAACATTACTTTTTTTTGCTAATGGTAGTAGTGCACTGAATAATTTTTATTTAATAAAATAATGCAACAAAGAACATAGAATAAGAACATCCAAAAAGCATATAATGTCCCATAACTACCACAGTTTTTCTGACATTTCTAGTGACGTAATATAAACCGTTAAAATATCATCCGTCTGAACAATATCAATCCTGTGGGGAAAAAAGTTTTCTTAGGAAGCAATCTACAAATCTCTGTAGAGAAAACAATGTAGTATAATATGTCATTTAATCTACGAAAACCTTGTCTGTCTGTTGGCCATAACTAATATAATTGTAAACGTAAGAGAGAACTACATGTATTGATAAATCTTGAAAGATGTGATAGATGGGCATGGCAGGAGGGGTCTGATTTTCTGTTTGATGACTCTGTAACCAAACAAGATTGAAGGCTAATAACACTAAACAGGGTATTACTGTATTGGCAAAAATGAGTAAATGGATGAAACATTACAATCCATTCATGTGCTAGAATATTTAATTGCTAATTTGGTAGAAAAATGAGTTTTCCCTTAAAAAATCAGATATATATGTATTCATAGTCATATTGTAGTATTTTTAATAAGTTTTGCAAATTTATATTTGTATGCATTGCTAGTTTTCTCAATATTATGTGAGTTTGTTTGTACAAGTCATGAGTGATTAATTGCATTTTTATTTCTTTCAGCAGCACCAAGCCCTCATCTGGCTTACATGGCTACAGCCGCTGTTCACGCACCTTCGCCCCACCCCACAGCCAACCCCGTCCATCCCCCAACTTTCTCAAATTTCTTCAGCCCTGCCTTAGCTCATATTACTCAGGATATACATTTAGCTTCCCAAGCTCATTTGTACCCCCCAGGACTGGCAAGGTTTAACCCAGCTCATCATCACTTTTGGCAGGTAAGCTAGCATTGAAACCTTTTTAAATAGTAAGTAGTCATAAAAAAATCAAAGGAAAAATGGTGCTGGTAAAATGTCATGCTTGACAGATTGTTTTAGTATAAATATATTTTTTGGTATAGTTTTTAAGCAGAAAGTATTTTAGGAATACAAATCGGTAAAATAAATACAGAAGAATATATGTAAGGAATATTGTGAACGTAAGTTCTGTAATGTGTGTGTGTGTGTATATATATATATATATATATATATATATATATATATATCTA